TTCCTCCCTCTAACAAGTCTTAGGAAATTAAATTCTTTTGCACGGTTATTTTAGAGTTTAACCACAATTGTCAAACCATGATTATATGCACCACATTTAGAAGCATGGGTAATTAAATTGCTTTGCAGCATTTTTTATTTTTTACCCCTAGTCCAAATATCAAATTCAAAAAAATTACATACTTCTTTTTTAGTTATTAAATAATGCAATGTCATTATATAAAATAATGGGTGGGCTAGGACCGAGCAATGTCTGACATGGAGTTAAGATAGACCTGTTATACTATATAACGTTAAACGAAATTAATCGCTCGTGAACTGAGCTCAACTCGTTAAGGCTCGAATTCGGTTTGACTCTTTTGATAAAAGAGCCGATCTCGAGCTTAAAACTCGTTTCGTTCACGAGCCGGGCTCAGCTCAGCTCGATAATGCTCGAAAAATAAATTTTTATATAATTTTTTATAATTCGACATATTAATAGTGATAAATGAGTCGAGCTCGAGCTTGATTTTTGGCTCGTTGAGGGCTCGATCTCGAGTTCGAACACCCTGAGTTCGAACTCGACTCGCCTCGTTTAAGCCTTAAGTCTATATCTATATGAACGAAAATGTATGTATATAATAACAAAGGAGAAGAATTGTTAAAAAAAAAAACTATTAGGAGGGGGTTCATCGTGATTTCAGCTTATACTGCACAAATGCAGCAAGTTATTGTATGGGTCTAGCTATTTAGTTCAGCTTCTCCTGACTGGATTTCCCCGGATTGAGCTTTATGGTCCTAAGCTTCTACAAATTGAATTTCTCGGATTGGGCTTTATAGTCCTTTGAGCTTAGTTAACCCAGCATTGGGCTTTTTAGTCCTCAGTTTTTCCAGATCAGTTTCCCAGATTGGGCTTTAGAGTCCTTTGAGCTTAATTAAGTAGTGTCGTACCCTGCTGGAGTAAGTTTTGACTTTTGATCCTTGTGGTCACATAACGTTGATACAATCGCTATGAGCTCGTTCCTTCGCCACGATTTTGCATTTGCATAAAATTTTATTTTCTTAATATTTTTCTATATATTTTCTGTTCATTTTTAAAAGCACTAAAAAATAATAATAATATTAAAATTGGGATGAATATAGGTCGTTAGAAGGGTTACTCGAGTTAAGTCAAATAATGATGTGCGAACTTGTGCTCGTTAAATAAACGAAGAAAATGCTCAATTTGAGCTCGACAACCTCGACTTGACTCGAATCGTTTATAAACTAAAAACCTTAAACAAGATTTTTTTAGAACTTTTAATTGCTTGTTTCAAAGTACGTTCGACCAAATGTTTCACATAAAACCCATAAAAACTAGGGAAAAAAAGAAGACATTTTCATTGATAAGCTCGGCTTGGCTACCCTCGTTTAATAAACAAGCTTATCAGTTGTGCGATCTTGGTCTCGTTAGTTTAAATTAACGAGACGAGTTCAAATGTTTACGAGTCAAACTGAATTGCGTTCGTAAACAACTCGATTTGAGTGACAGCTCTAAGATCTTTGAATCATCAAAGGCCTATCATCCCAACGACATAATCAAAAGGTTGTTTAACAAAACAAATAGAAAAAAACATCGATTCAATATAATCGACAGTCCATTGATCCTGGCCATTGGATACACATGGGACCACACAGACGAGCCCTTCCCGTGCGTCGGATCGATTCTCAATTATGATTTGGCTTTTTAGGCCTCAACATGTGTAGGATTGGACCCATAGTTAGGGACATGCCATTTTGGATGAACATTCCCATATTCCATCCAAACACCTAAGCCAAGAAACATCACCAAAGCTACTCACTTATACATCTACACAAATAAAGATGAACAGGGTACCATTACATTTGTGTGTATACATGAAAGGGACATGCTTTTGACATTACATTTTCATCATTTATTCAATTGGCAACTTTCCTTTACAACATACCTAAGCGTCCAAAGTAGCTTTAATCGGAACAATAGGGACCGATATAAATGGAGTGTCTACGTGCAATTTGTTGAATACACATTGTTTATGTGTATGTATATGAAACAACGATCATACTTTTTGAACAAAAATGCATACTATGAAATGTCATTACACATTTGTTTAACAAAATCATTACCGATATTATTTTTAAGAATAATCTCATTCCTTACCTTTTTTTAAAGGGTCAAAAAAAAGGGCAAGCAGAAAATCAAGAAAATTTGAAAGATGGAAATTAAAGAAGCCACTCAAGAACTGGTGAGGGTGTATGTATACGTAATACTGTCCACATAAACATAATAAGGTGTTCACAACTAAATTCCACATAGAAGAAATCAACAAGAGAAATACATATTTTTAGAGAGGGTGAGCCGACAGCCTAAGCTATCTTATACCTATGATTAGATTACTTGAGTTGCTCCTCAACTGGATTTGTCTAACTCCTTTTGTTTTGTTCATCAGTTTCTAACACATACACGCCCCAAGTTGGTTCATTGCCATGCATTTTGGTCATAGTAATTGTGTTAGATGTGTCATAAAAAAAAATCTCTCTGCAGCTATGATTAGAGTTACTTGAGTTGCTTTGTCTAACTCCTTTGTTCATCAGTTTCTAACACATACACGACTCCATGTTAGTTTATTGCCATGCATTTTGGTCATCAATATCTGATAGAGATCTACCAAATAACGTTGGTTTTCTAGTCACGCGGTCCTCTTCAGATCTCTGGATCAATAAATCTGATATCTCAACCGTCTGAGTGAAATTGGTAATATGAAAACAAGGGCCGGGAGATGTTTCTGATGTGAGCACTCAGACGATCAAGTTAGCATCGGAATGTGGATAAATATGGATAGTTGATAGATAGAATATGTGGGAGAAGAGAGATGTGTTTCTAATCATAACTTACCTCTTTTTATATTATAATTACCTTGTTGTCCTATTAACTATGCATCATGGTGCCCAAGAACTCTTGCTTCCCAAGGACTACCCAAGAGTAGCAACGCTGCCCATGCCAAGGGCTGCCCGAGTAGCTCTGCAAATGAGTCAAGTCGAGTTGAACATGGATATTATCGAGCGCAGATTGATTTTTTTTTTACTGCTCGAGCTCGATGAGCTATGTAAAATGGTGCTCGACTCGACTTGTGAAAAAAATAAGAAAGAATGCTCGTGATCGATTCGATGCTTGACATGACTCGAGTTCTGTTAGAAATTTTAACTAAACTTTAAATACAAAGTTACTGTTTTTAATCTAAATAGATAATTTTTGCCTTGATATTTTAACATTGATAATTAAAATGTACAGTGTATTTATGTAAATAAAAAGTCGAGCGACTCGTCGAGCTTATGAGCCTCTTGAAATGATGCTCGAGGCTCGACTCGTTTGCTGGAGCTCGACTCGAGCTCCAGTCTGACCGAGGTCGAGTAAAGCATTGAGCGCTCTCGAGCGGCTAGTGAGCCTCTCGACTCATTTGCAGCCTTATGCCCGAGGTGTATACATATTTGATTGTGTTCACACTTTTGCATTCACACATTAGATGGTTACAGGTCCCCCGACTTGTCTTTTACTTAGTTGTGCTTTAGATCTCCAGGTCTAATTGAGAGAGCTTTTAGTTGATCGACCTTTGCTTTGACTGAGTTGTTTAGCTTAGGGTGCTTGAGCTCGAGCTGGAGCTCGGCTCATTAAATAAAAAATTCAGAAATCGAGTTCGAGCTCCGCTCGTTTATCACTATTAACGAGCCGAATTCGAGCTGTAACAAACCAATCTCGAGCTTTAACAAGCCGACTATAAAAAGTTATACAAAAATTTTCTTTTCGAGTTTTAAAGAGTCTTATCGAGCAAAACTGAGTTCGGCTCGTTAACCAAACGAGTTTTAAATGAACTTGAGCTCGACTCGTTAAGTCCTCGAGCTCGAACCTAACTCAAGCCTTAACGAGCCAAACTCGTGCTCGAGCCTAGTCGAGTCAAACTCATTTAATTTAATAGCACTAATCAATAATCAATATCACCGGTAATTGTGTTAGATGTGTCATAAAAAATATCTCTGCATTTTCCATGCATATTTTCCAGTTACCTTTGTTATGGCCTCAAATCCAATATTAATTTTTTTTTCCCCTCAAATCCAATATTACTTAATTAACCAGTTAATTATAAGAATTTGGATATCTCATGATGATATATGGAACATTAAGTAATGAAAACGTGGCCTTTCATTTTAATTTTAAAATTTTATTTAAAAATTCTTATGTGAGACCATATATAGCTAGACGGGCCAATCCAACATGCTTTTGAATAAAAGTGTATATATATTGTGAAAATGACATACTTTTATTTATGTTATGTTTTTCCTAAAATATTCACTTGTGTATGAAATTATATATACTTTGTTTTTTTTTAAAAAAAAAAAATTAACTATCTAACGATTAAGCTTGCCTAACAGTAACTTTACCGTTTTTCTTGTTGATTTTCTTTTTAGTATTGAGGATGACCATAGACACGCTGTAACAGAATAAGTTGTTTTTTGTTTTTATCAATTTATTGACCAATATTTATAAGGTTCAATTCATACTTAATTTGGAGTATAGCTTCTATTGTTGTTAAAACTTATACAACTTTTCGGTATAAAATTGGATTTATGATCAAAATTGTCTTAAAATTAGTCAACAACATTTTACGGCAAGAATTTAATTTTTCGGTCAACAATTGTACTCAAATTAATTTATTTTTAAAATTTATGGGACTACTAACTTAGTAAAACTATATTTTATAAAATATAAATATAAGTACTACATTTTATAATATAACTACTCGTTTTTATTAAAAAAAAGTATAGCACCGTTTAACAACTAGGTTGCCTTAGGGCATCTGCATTCGTTTAATGTTTTTTATATTCATTCAATCAAAAAGTTACACTCCCTCTCATCCACATCATATTTTCACTAATTCTCTCTTCATTTAAACACACACCCACATCCCTACACATTCATTTAAATACAAATATGAGACCCATTATATCCCTTCATTCAATATAAATTTTAATATTCTATCCTCAATAAAAATAAAAATTTAATATTTTTAAATTATAATAATAAATTTTAAATGCATGAAAATAAAAGAACACTACAAGATCAAAATACCTTAAATTAATATTACACAAGAAAAAACAGTACAATTACAAAAATGAAGTGTATTTATAGACAAAAAAATGAGGATAAAAAAAAATAAAAAAAATTAAAAAAAGAGCTGCAGAAAATAAAAATAAAAAAAATAAAATAAAAAGGACTCAAAAGAGCCGATGAAACATATTAACGGTATCAGTGGGACCAAAATAAAATTAAATATTAAATGAAACAACAAAAAATAAAATAAAAAAATAAGAAAGGCACTAAAAGATGTCGTTCAAGGCAATGAACGAATTAAGGGGCACACACTTAATGGATGACTGCATCGCTTTGAACGTTCAACTGCCATTTAACGGGGCCACTTAATGTCCCGTTGTGGATGCCCTTATTTATGATATAATATATCTCCATTTTTTCTATGTAATGAAACATATAATGATATAATTAGTTTAATGTAACATCAACACTTTAAGCTAGCTGAATTATATTTGATATTGGTTAGTGATTGGAAGCTTATATAAAGTGTAATGAAACATATAATTATAATGATATAAAATGTAACATCAACACTTTAAACTAGCTGAATTATATTTAGATATTGGCTAGTGAGTGGAAGCTTATATATAGTGGACTTATTCGAGCATCTTATAATTCATCTCTCTCTCTCTTTCTAAGAGAAAAAATCAACAAAAATACACATCAAAAGCAATGCTGGTAGACATGTTTTTCCGGCCCTTTCGGAGTGAGAAGTCAAGGTTATGATTTGCTTTTTTATTTAATAATTATGTGAAAAAATTTTAACTAAATAAAAAATGATTTTTATTTTCCTTTTGTATTTTATTTTATTTCATCTTGACCACATTTTAATACTATTATTTAAAAAATATTGAACCGGCTGTTGCATACAGGGTGAAGAAAACAAGGTGCAAAATAAATGAAGAGGAAATGGATGAAGATTGGGATGTGTACTGTATGCAATTCCCCAAAGATCCTTTGACCAAACACCCCAATCTGTCTTCAACATTTCAAAAGATTCATAGGTAGCCTCCAACAATCATCCCTGTCATCATTATCATTCATATAATATTGTGTTTTTTTTTTTTTTTTTTTTTTTNTTCTTTTCTGAATGACCATTACATGTTGATTATAAATAATATTTTTCTAAGTAACAATGTACACAATTTGACATTATTAAAATCCACTTGAATAAATATATAAATAGGTCTCACTTCTTTGTTAGTATATGTACACCATTATGTTAAAAATGTATAAGCAGCATTATCCTCTACTTGATGTGTTCAACATTGAAAGACTAGCATTGAACACTAAGTGATTGTATAATTTTAAAATAAAATGACTTACTCTGGAAAAATAACATAAATAAAAGTATAATATTTTATAACGTAATTATGAAATTTTATTATAAGAGTATGATGAGTCAACTATCTCTAAACCTTCACCTACGAGAATTTATGTTAGATATTGTTTTATTTATTAAGTCGTTTCGAAATTAAAAATATGGCATTTGAATACGAATAATGTATATTTGTCGAAAATTTATATTTGTCTAACTAATAATCAGTCTACGGCCTACCTTTTTTCAATAAGGCTACTGTTAGCAAGCCTTCCAGTTATACAACCATATTTCTCCTACCAATATGCATAAATTTAAATTAATCTGCCATACCTTTAAAGAAACAACATAAATAAAAGTATGACTAAGTATGTAATTTTTGTAAAAAATAATAATAATAATAATAATAACACATCAATCTACCTAAATGTTAGATCATCTCACGAAAATGTATTAGAAAATTTATATAGTTTGGCAATAAATTACTTTAAGTAATAGAAAAATGAGATATCTAATTATCTATTTAACGAAATGTGTACTGACCATTGTTTTAAAACATGGTCTGCTCGCGGGTCAATCTGAAAGCGGAATCGGTCCAGGTGGGTTGTTCGGGTAACAATGGACCCGTTCATTGGTACCGATCCGGTTGACCAGGGTATTGAGCCGGTCGGGGTCAAGTTAGTTTAATCCAACCATTAAATATTTATTTTATTTATCTTTTTATTTTTAAATAAAATTAATAGATAAATATTTATGACAAAATACAGTATTATTAAAATTTTGGGTATACAATTTTACATACACATAATTTATTTGTATTGTTTTACGTATAGAATAAAAAATTTTGGGTATAAAATTTTACATACAAATAATTTATTTGCATTGTTTTACGTATAGAATAAAATAAAAATAGTATAAATATTATTTAAAATTTTATAATATTAATTATTCGCTTTAGCAATTGATGAATGGGTGCCCCGATAAGTCACGAATCCGGTTTTAAAACTATGCTACTAAATTAAAGTATGAGAAAAATAATGTGAAGTGATAGTTAAAATTATATGAGTGGATGTATAGTGAATTAAAGTTGATATGATGTGAAAGAATGATTAGTTTGTGGAGTATAATTTAATTATATTAATAATATTGAGAATAATTAAATTCGGTTAAAATTGAATTAGATTTTAAGTATAAATTTAAGGTGAATGAATTATTTTGTAAACAAACATCCTCTAATCTATATATATATATAAAGATTGTTGGAAAAATTCATTTGTGGAAAGTTTAATTTTTGGGTCAAATTTGTTGACTTGCCATTTAAGGAAAATCTGTCCATATTTTTTCAAACCGATTTACTAAAGCATCTTCATTATTTTAAAAACAGTTAATGATATATTTTTGGTAGATTTGTTTTTTTAATATGTATGCAACAATATTCCATATTTTTCGTATGAGATATTCAGAGTTTTTTTTTTTTTAAAGGATCGTGCTCTATTTTGTTCAAATATCTATTCACCTTTTTTTTCAAGCCGACTTCAAAACACTATTTTAATTATTTCAAAAATATTTTTGTATTTTATTTTGGTTAACATAGAATCAAATACCTTCCATCTTTTAATGTTTAGATCAATTTTAAAAGATCCATCCATATTTTACATATTGAATCTGTCGATCAATTTTAAAAAGATTCATGCTCCAAATTTACAAATATTCGTGGATTTTTTTTAAACCCATTATTGTTTTGAAAATACTTTTGTATTTTATTTAGAATCAACAACATTCCATATTTTACGTACTAGAATTTTACATCCATTTAAAAAAAAAAATTGTGCTATAATTTGCAAAGATTTGTGAACTTTCTTTTATCGAGCATTTTACGTACTAGAATTTCACAGCTATTTAAAAAAGATTTGTGCTCTAATTTTGCAAAGATTTGTGAACCTTTTTTCTCGATAGAATTTTGCAGCTATTTAGAAAAGATTTGTGCTCTACTAATTTTACAAAGATTTGTTAACTTTTTTTTCTCGATATGGACGTGTATCTGTTAAAGTAAAAATGTAGAGATGTATAAGATTGGTTTCTTTAAAATTGTTTGTAAACAAACCTTATCAACACATATATTAATTTGAGCCGGTGCCACCATCAAAATAAACTGTCTTGAATTTTATAAAAATAACTCATCGTTAAAGAAATTAACATTAAATTTGATGCAAAAATAGTGTACATGTTAATTTAAAACTTATATGATCTTATTAATAGATATCAATATTTATTTGAAAGCATTAATGTTTTCTTTAATGTTTTTTATAAACAAACTTTATCAACAATTTATGACCAAAATATCATTTTTAAGATAAATATATTGAATTTTAAGAATAAATCGCATCACATAAATAAAATTTTGAAAATCTCATCGCATGTTGGTTTATTCATGAAGAAACCGATATTTAGTTATGCACAACCCCCCCAAGTGTACGTTGCAGTATCACGTGTCAACAACCGAAATGAGTTGAAAATACTAGGGGAATATATTTACTTAGAATTTCTAATGACTTTTAAAGACTTCAGAAATCCTGATGTATTTAATTTAGATTTTTTAAAACTTTTAAAAGTCTTGAGTTATTCAGTTAGGACTTTAAAAAGTCATACAAAATCCTGATTTATTTAATTTATTTGAGATTAAACTTTGTTAATATTTTTTAAGATTTTCTGGGATTTATAAGGATAAAAAATATATACGAAATCCCACATCTAGATTTAAGATTTCACAGGATTCCTTCAAAATTGAAAAATTTTAAAAAATGTCAAAATGTCACTCGAAATCCCAAACGAATACACTTCCATTAGTTTTTTATAACGATGGTTCGCCAACAATTATATACAAGTTTGTTTTCAATAATTTATAGTTTTTGAGATTGTTGGCGAGCTATGTATTATGATTTATCAACACTTTTTTTAATTTTTAGTATTTAAGATGTTAAACATTCTACTTAAACATCCCACGAACCACTACTAGTTTGACAAATAAAAGGGCTGTAATAAATCCAATTTATATTTATTTACTCTTACAAACAACAAAATCTGAAATCTGAATTTTCCAGAAACGGACGAAGCACGAAGACGATGTCAGCCAGAGCCTCCAACTTTTCCGATCTGATCCAACGGGTCACCGCCTCTTGCCTCCTCCACCCGCTCTCCGGCGTCGCCCGCCCCGACGGTGACGACGACGAAGACCGCGACGCGGCGGCGGAGGAGGAGGAACAGAAAGAAGAAGAAGATCCGGCCGACGGGGAGGAGGACGGGTTCGAGGCGCTCGGCGCGCCCACGGTTGGTCCCCACGCGCCTCCGCGCGTGGCGGAGCTTGAAATGCTGGTTGGGCAGGTGTTCGACGCCGTCGCGGCCGTGAAGCGGGCGTACGTGAGCCTCCAGGGAGCGCACTGCCCGTGGGACCCGGACAGGATCCGCGTTGCCGACGCGGCAGTGGTGGCCGAGCTCAGGCGGATGGGCCTCCTCCGGGAGAGGTTCAGGCGGGGCGTCGGCGGAGGAAGGGCGCGTGGGGTGGGAACGGCGACGCTGAGAGAGGTGGTGGCGCCGTACGAGGCGGCGGTGGAGGAGCTGAAGAGGGAGGTGAGGTCGAAGCAGACGGAGATTGAGGGATTGAGGGAGAAGCTCAAAACGGCGTCGTTTAGTGAGCGGGCCAGTGGGAAATCAAAGGGGAAGTCCAGGAGACGAGTCAGCTGCACCACTCAAGGTCAGTCTCCACCGAATTTACGAATATACCCCACTCTCTACTAAATATTCCTTTTATTTTTCTGACTAAATATTATTTGTTTTAGTAATATAGCTGAACGATTCAATTCGTTGATAGTAGATTGGGGATTGAATTGAGGGGTTTACTAGTTGATCAGATTAGTGGATGTGTAGAATTGCTTGATAACTAATTGGCAGTTTGACATAGAAAAGTAACTAAAACTTGCAATTATTTATTTCAGAAAAACTCTTATATTGAGCTGTTCAGATTTTTAATCAAAAAAATTATTTCAAATCACCACTTACTAAATACTAAATAGTAAAATTATAAATTTTTATAGGTCAACTCTCTAATATAGCCTCGTAATGCCAATTATTAAAGAAGGGCATTTGTTAATATAAATAAATAAACAGCCTCACTGTTTCACAGTTTTAAGGTATGATCAATTGATCATGAATATCTTTATTGTTTACCGTTAAGAAATTTTTGTAGGAGTCATACTCATACCTATCTTTATTGTTTTGTTGTTCAAAAACTCTTCCATGGGGCGTTTGTCATACTATATAAAAAATATATTTATAAAATATTATAAATAATTATGTATATGTTAAAATATGACATTTTTATTATTTTCTAATGAAAATGCATATATTTATAATTAAAATATGTCGTCCATACTGTTTAATATCAGTAGCTTCAGTCTTAGGTTATTTCATGTGCATAACCTCAAAAGTATCATCAAATCGTCACACTATACAATACACTTTTATCATTGCATTGACAATTTGGTCCTATCACTTTAACTTTCTCCTAATCATAAAACCTTTTGTGTGCCCATGTCACCAAATCTTAAACAGCAAGAACGCTTGTACGTACAAAAATCAGAAAGGTTGGATTGGACATTTTTTTTTTTTTAATAAAGTAAATTATGTTTTTTATTAGATTTTGAGTTTGCGTTGGAAAGTTGCACAAACTCAAAATCTAATAAACCATTTTTGTGGTGATGGGTGTCACCCTTAAAGTGGTGTCGTTATAATCATGCTTGAAGTGTGTTAAAAATATAATAATTAAAGTTGATGTGATTAAAACTAGAATTAGAAAATGAGTGATTGAATTTGATTGTTAGTTAAAATACGTGAGTGAATGGATAATTAATTCTGTTGATGTGATGTGTAGGTATAATTTATTGATATCATTTAATTATACTACTAATACTGATAATAATTATATATATATATATATATATATATACTAGCTAATAGAATTTAATAAAACCTATATAATTTTACCTATGTGGTAATTTAACAATTTTTCCTCCAAAAACCGTTACATTTTGATGTATTTAATCTTTCATTTAATCATTAAATAATTAATACTCATCACTTCAAAATTACAAAAATCATTTTAAACTTTTGATTAATGACAGTTGACCATATAATGTGTTGACCGTATAATGTGATTAGATGTTATTATTGTTGTTACATTTAATTTTTTTTTTAAAATAAAAAATATATTTGAAATTCCTAAATAAATAATAAATAATTCACAAATAAAACACGTACCAAAATATACATTACATCCAATCAGATAAACGCAATTTAAAAAAAAAAAAATTCCAACTCTTTTAATTGTAAATTTGGTCTGCAAAAAAGTGAAAAAAAATAATTAATCATTATATGTACAGACTCACAATAATTTATTTATATCTGTGCAAATGCACAGGTCGAATACTAGTTGAGCTAGATTTGAGATGAATTTTAAGTTAAAAAATTTAAATTTAAAATGCTTTGGTGGATTTGAAAACTGCATTTGATTGATTAAATCCACATTGGATCTATGTCCAATCTCACCCCATATATGGGTTCCCATTTTTCATGCATTGATTTACACAACTGCACAACAGTAACACCGGCACCCGCAATCGATCTCTTCGAGAGCACGATGAGTCTCGTGAGAGAAGCTTCGAAAGCCTTCACGTCCCTCCTCCTCTCCCTCATGCGCTCCGCCCGTTGGGACATAGCCGCCGCAGTCCGGTCCATCGAGGCCGCCTCCTCCTCCTCTTTCTCCTCCGCCACCTCATCCCGGGCCCACGCGAAATACGCTCTCGAGTCCTACATTAACCGAAAAATCTTCCAAGGGTTCGACCACGAGACGTTCTACATGGACGGGAGCCTCTCCTCAATACTCCACCCTGACCACCACCGCAAGGACTGCTTCACCCAGTATCGGGACATGAAGGCCATGGACCCAACCGAGCTCCTCGGCATCTTGCCAGACTGTAGCTTCGGAAACTTTTGCTTCAAGAAGTACCTCTCCATGGTGCACCCGAAGATGGAGGAGTCTTTGTTCGGTGACCTAGAGCAGAGGCGCCAGGTGCTGGACGGGCGCCACCCGAGGAGCCAGTTTTATGGGGAGTTTTTGGGATTGGCTAAGGCAGTGTGGCTTCTGCATTTGCTTGCGTTCTCGCTCGATCCTCCCCCGAGCCATTTTGAGGCGAGTGGTGGGGCCGAATTTCATTCGCAGTATATGGAGAGTGTCGTGAGGAGCTCTGGTGGGGTCGGTGTGCAGAAGATGATTGTGGGTTTTCCGGTGAGTCCGGGGTTCAAGCTTGGGAATGGGTCGATCATCAAGGCTAGGGTTTATCTGGTGCCGAAGAACGGATGATTTTTTTTACGAGTTTCGAATATTTTTTTTTTGGTGGAGTTTGTGTATTTGAGGTTGAGGATGATTTTTGTTATGGCTGTGGTACAAACTCTGTTGTTGTGTTGTGTTCCTTCTGTTGTGATAATAGTTATGGTGATGCTAGATTGAAGTAGTGATTGATTTGCTATGTTAGTTCTGTTTTGTGGTCTTCTCTCCTTAAAAGAGAAAGACAAGCCCGTGTTTGAATAATAATAGCATTTTGTAAGCTGCCAACAGTGATAGCCCGTTTGGAAATCATCTTTGGCTTGTATGGAATGACCATCTTTGGCTTGTATGGAATGACCGAAGGAGTAATAACAATTAGCAAGTACTGCAGTGTATTTCTTCAAATGATAAAATATTTCAATTGTATAATATGGTCCAACATTCGAATGTTACGACAATAATATCGTTCGTATTCTATGCACACAAACACTTCTACGCTCGTAGTTGTATTCATATGTCTTACCAAGCTATCATATTTGACAAGTATGAAGATAGATTCACTATATTTATCATCATCAATTAGTTTCATGCTTTGAGGTAACCCCAGGAACGGAGGCTCGCCTAATCACCGCGTTTCTATTTATAACAAATATAGTTCGACATATATTTACTCGTCAGCTGGAGAAAATTTTTACCTGCGAAAATAGATATAACTCATATTTTAGTTTGAAACAGACTGATTCACAAAGAGCTGGCACCTGATGTATTCACTATAATTATGCAGAAACCCATAGGATAAAGAATCCAGAGACAATAAAAAAAAAATGAATGGGAGAGCTATTTTAAACACAATCCTAAGTGTATGCTGATGTTGAATCTAAAGATATGGATTTATCATCTTACTTGTTCGAGAGTCAAAAACATGATGACGTTCCATGACCCAAGCCGACCAAAGTTTGGAAGGAAACCTTTGTAGAAAGCAACTAATCCCTGACAAAATGATGAAGCCATCTTATGAGCATTAAGGCTCAAAACTAAACATAGACAAGGCAGGAATACCAGAAAAGCCAAAACCAGAAAATGGAAATGAAAACAATAGCATAATTGGTGTAATGGAATGGAATTTGGTAGGAATGGAATGAGTTAAAGAATGGAATGACTATGAGAAAGGAATGAAACAAGTTTTGTCATTGATGTGTTTGGTATGCAGTATGAATAAGACCGGAATGAAATAACATTATCATCCTATATAAAATAAAAAAAAAAAATTCTTATCTATTTATAAATGCATTTTTTGTGAGTTTTAATTTTATATAAGTATTTAATATTTCTAAATAAAATATGACTAATAAATAAAATAAATTTTAATTTTTTATTTGAAATTTATTTTTTAAAATGATTTTGTTTAATATAATTTAATCATGATAATATAATTTAATCATGATAATAAATAAAATATAATTTTAATCATGATAAATATAGTATATATCATATATTTATTTGTTATTATTATTTGTTAATTTTATTTTTTGAAAAATCGATTCTTAAACATATGAGAATGAAAAAACCATCCATTAGTTATGGAATGGCTAATTCCATATAGATCGGTTTTGCAATTCCCATTGGAATGGTCATTCCCTTTTAAAAAATATACTGATCATGGGAATAGGACTGAGTAAGGGAATGATCATTCCATTCTCACGTCATTCCCGCATAACAATCATGCCATGGTTTATAGTTTTGCATTAGGTCATTCAATACAGTGTTCTGTTATGTTTCTGTTAATCAGGTATTCAAGTAGCAGTAAGATGTTTAAATGCTTAATCAAGAAAAATCCCAGTATTCGTTCCACTGGTATATCATGTGTGGGAATTGAGCTCCAAAAAAATGAAAATAAAAAAATGCAATAACTTTTACTTGAGTTAACTTAAAGAACCTCATACATTTAGTGGAAAAGGCTGAGATTAGTGGAATTTCATTACAAGGGCCAATAAGGACTGTGCTAAGTGCTAACTGAACATGAAAATGAATCGTATACCTCGGTCTTTAGTGTCTTAAAAAAGCAATCTATAGTGCCTCTGTAACCCGAATCCCCCATCATTCTAGATTTAACCTGGAAAATTACAAGCAGAAAAATCCATATTAGAATTGAATGTATCCTCTATTTTATATGTATATTAATAATTTTGGGAGGGGATAAAAGGACAAGAACAAAAAGATGAGTATCTATTAGAGAAGGATGTGCCCTTTATGAAGAACGTAAAACCTTTAATGTACGAAAGAATAAAGCCATGGCTACTGGCATATGAATACGTTATTAGCATCATTATTATTTGACTCGTTAAAGTAAAGTTCACTAGTAATGGTCATGGAACCCACAGTAAAATGGTCTTTAAGGTTGTTGAAAAAGAAACCAACTTCAACTTGTATTAGACATTACAACTACTTATTTGACAATGCTACAGTTAGATAGATCTTTATGCTATAGATCCCAAATTTCGTGATATTAAGGACAAGTAGATCACTAGTAAACTGCAATTTGGAAACTATCCGAAAAAAGTGGTACATAGAGAATCTCATTTCCCTATGCCATGGGCGAGGATGGGAATGACAAATCAACAAAGTGAATATCTAGCAGAAAATAGTTATCTTTTAAGATTTGAAGAAAGTAAAATACTTGGATGTACAAAAATACTCACGATATGATTGATGCCGTTAGCATCAATACTATCGAACCCTTTAAAGTAGACTTCACTAGTAAATGATCACAGGAGTCAGGATACAATGGCCCCTAAGACTGTCGAAACAGAAACTAACTTCAGTTAGAAATTTAAATTATTTTGTAACGCTTTGGCTGAATAGAATTTTATGTAACAGATCCTCAATGCATCATATTAGGAAATTTTAATTTACATGCACTGGAAAGTTGCAGTATGGAAATTGTCTGGAACTAAGTCTAACTACATGAAATATAAAGAATATACTTTCCATGCTGAGTTCCAGTAGAAATTCACATTTCACCAGCATTTTTTCAAGTGTGCGTAATGCATATGAATGAGTATAAGGTGCCTGTAATAACTGTTTCCTCAAGTAATGCTTCTGTGCAGTGTAATGAGATAAGTTTCAAATACCTATAAGTGATATCTCACTGATTATAAATCACTAACACAATTAAAGTTGCATGGGGAAATAAAATAGTAACTCATGTTACATATAATTAAATTGTTGCCCGTTATAATGCATGCAAATTAAGTCAAAAGAGGGAATTACCACATCAACGGGGGAACCAATACAGACAGCAAAGAATCCTGCACCTAAACCAGCTACTACATGCGTTAGAACATTGTCTGCAAATCCTGGAAGTTTTAAAATTATCTGTCCACGACAAAAATATTAGAACTGCGGGCAATATCACATCATAATAGAAATAAAAATGGATGCAGAAAATTTTATGGGGTTGAAAAGAAATACACACAAGACTACCTCTTTGATATGATCATAACTAGCTAATTCTGCAGCATTTATAATTGCATTTCGGGCGATGTTAGGCCCAAGCCCTGTCCACAAAGCTGCCACTCCTTCCTGTTGATTTATTGCACTTTATGTTAGTGGATCACCATACAAAAGCATATCTTCTAATTTTCAGATCAGATGTCACCTGTTTGACTATGGTATAATAGGCATCCAAAGCACCACTATAACGCCTTGGTACTCCAACTGGTAGCTTACCCTCAGCTTGCAGCCGAACTTTCACAAGGTCAGTTGGATTAGCCACCGTTATTGCTATAGCACCTTTTGCATCAGGAATTTTTGTCATTATTCAGAACACAAATAGCAATCCTTCTATATATAATTTTAGAATGTGCTGGGCCTAAGTGACAGCTTCGCACGCTTCGTAATCTTACATGGCAAAATATTATGCTTCGTAATATGGCTTGGATAAAAATTACTAATTTTTTATACCAAATAACTTAGGTTCGGATTACCATATATATATATACACATATTTAATATATTTAAATCATTCCATATAAATCTATTTATTATCTTCTTTATGTAATATGTATATAATCTTACTTTCCAAATTTTGTGCTTTGTTCATATTCTTCCCTTATGTGTATTTAATAAAAATATTATGAATAAAATTAATGATGTATATAAATTCTTTTTCATAATTTAAAATAATATTTTTAATTCACTTAGTTATTTATTATAAGTAGTTATATATTTTTATTTATTTATTTTTTCTAATTTTGACAAAATATATATATTTTTTTATTTTTATTGTACATTTAATTATTTTATCAACCACCCGTGTAGTACACGGGTATTGTACTAGTCTTAACTATTATGGAATAACAAGAGGAACATGGAACGATATTTCATTTACCAGTCAGCAGAGCAGCTAAAATTTTACTGACTAGGGACACATCTCCAAAGTAATAACTTCCAACCAAGAACACCTTGACCTGTTCAAACATCGATGAGGTGAACAAATTTTGACCAGTCAAGTTTCACACAAATGTTTAAAAAAAAAAAATATTAAGGCGGGAAATGTGATACATACAGGGTCATACAACCCGATTCTTAACCCTCCGTAAAGGAATTGACGATGCAAGCCAGGTATGATTCCTTTCCAAAGTGCAAGTATGCCTTCTTCTTTTGCTATCTTGGCAACTGTACCCAACAAGCCCTTGTATTTTGGTTCACTAGCTGAATCCTCTGATGGAACTCTCTTTTGCAGCTGAAGCCTTACTTTAGCAGTATCCAAGGGAATGGTACAAAACTGCACAGGCCGCCAGGCCAGGGGATGGTCAATCCTAACTCTCAGATGCGATTTGATAATTACTTATCCCTAATAAGTGGTATAAAACTAGATAAAAGTACAAAGCAATGGCCAACACTCCCGGGCATTATGGGTTGAGCACACTTCAAGGATATTTATACATTTTATGCTATATTTCTTCATTTATTTTTCAATATTAGCAAGCCACTTAGTATAACTGGGATGGGTGGTCGCTCAAAAGGCAATCAGGCAATTCTAGGGAAATAAAACTGCAGTTTTCTTCATCAATCAAATTACTGAATCAACACCTCAACATTATGAATAATCCGAATTTACAATTAATCACAAATGCCCAACATATTTTTTTATTTTTATTTATTTTTTAATTATGATTCATGCCAATTCACCTTAGAGAGAAACCACATATTTGACAAAGTTAAACTCAGCATTATTGTGCTTAAAACAGATAATCCATGAACGAAAATGCAAAAGCCAGATTATCAAATGCCCATCCTGTGTACCCTCAAAGGATCCTTAAATTTCCCTCTAGGTTGTATAACTTAGGACAAATTAACATGAAGTGCATTCAATTGCTCATTCAAAAACATTGCCTGCAATATCAATTTGCACATTCTGATGAATGTGGTCAGCTCAAATACAATTCAGATCTATGTACAAGCTGCATCCCAATTAAGCTTAAATGACACAATCGTACTGATAAACAAAAACTAAATAAATAAATAAATAAAAATAAAATCCGAGCTCTGATGCAAATACTAGGCTTGGTGCTGCTAAACCGATCAATAATGCAAGGGGACAATAAAATAGTGATAATTTGACCTCATAATAAAAAATCTGCATTAAAAAAAAAAAAAAGTGAAAAGTATGGGAATGAGATTGAGACCTCGGCAAAACAAGCGGCGAAGGCGCTACAGACGAATATTCTGGCGAATGAGATCTCCGACTGATCCGCCATTATTGAATATCAACAGTATAGTGTGTTTTGCAGGCTCGAGAGTAAATGCTGTGCATCTGAGCAGTGGGAGTACAACGTAAAATGGACTTTGATTATTAGAGTGATGTGTATAATCAATAGGTGGCGTGATGTACATACATCATCTTCTCTTGCTTTTGCTTGTATTAATTTTCACCAAATTGCTTTTACTCGCGGTTGCTGAGGTCAACTCTTAATAAGCAGTTGCACTAGCTGGATTTGCTGCTACAAATTTTGGACTTTCTGTTGTGAG